GCACTCTAACCTGGGTAACATGAGTGAAACTCCGTCTCAAAAAAAAAAAAAAAAAGAGATAACATACAAGCAGAAAGCTGAATAAACTAATGAAACAATTCACAGCAGAATCTAGGAGAAGAATATTTCTGACAGAAGGAGCATCAGTGCAAAGACCTTCAGACAGAAGTGTGCTTGGCATGTTTTGAGATGAGGGAGTGAGAACTGGAGAATAGTGGTGGGATATGAAGGGGTCTGATCATATCAGGCTTTTTAGAATAAGGAAAAGATATTATTCTAAGTAAAATGGGAAGATATCAAAGGGCTCTGAGTGGGATTGTCCCATGTTCAGGTTTCCATTTTGAAAAGATCATGCTTGCTTTTATGTGAGAAGGAAACTAGAAAGGAGCAAGAAGGGATGCAAAGAGGCTGTTACGAGGCTATTACAGAAGTCTAGACCAGAAGGGACAATGGCATGGACTTAAGGTTGCTATTAGTCGTGGCTTGCCTGGGACCGAGGGGCTTCCCAGGATACAGGACTTTAGATCTTAAACCAGGAGGATCTTGAGCAAATCAGGATGTTTAGTCACTTGGACTAGAGTAATAACCTATGAATGAAGACGTGGTCAGGTTCAAAATATATTCTAAGGGTTGAAGAAGCAGTGAAGCAGGAGAAACTGGCTTAGACATTTAGGGCAGAGGCAAAGTATAAACTTTTTGAAAGTCAGGAAGAGGAGGAGGGGTTCAGACCTTTCAAACATTCGCTTGGCATTAGTATGCAGTATGCCCTGAATTTTGGAAAGACCATAACTAAAGAGGTCTTTAATCAGACTATTTCAGAAAGTATGACAGAAGTGTCAATAGGGCTCAAACACAATGGAACTGATGGTAAAACTTGGAGGTGGAGGTGGAGGTGATCGAAGTGGTGGCGTTAGTCGTCACAGCGATCCTAGTGTAGGGTGAAGGTAGCGGTGATGGTGGCAAGTATTATATGGAGATGGAGGTCACATTGAAGTGCATGTGATGAGGGCAGGGGTTACATTGATGATGGTGGACAAAAAGAAAAAAAGAAAAAAATCCAACCTGGGAGACATTTACAAAATCAGAAATATCAGGACTTGTGGGTTAAACGAACAGAGGAAAACAGAGAAAAAGGAATAGGCCATTAGAAACAGATGAGTTACTGACCCTGAGGGAAGGATGTTGGATAGAATAGTTGAGAGGAGGGATTGGTGTTGAATATTGATTTCGTTACAGAAATAAAGTAAGAGTGGAATAATCAAGTGGATGGCCATCTGGAACGATAGCTTCTATCATTTCCAGACAGCAGTGTACCAGTAAAGAAAACTCATGATTTTGAGTCAAAAGAGCCTGCTCCAGTTCCTCTCTGAGACAGCTTTGTAACCTACAGCCTCTGCATCTCAAAGTCTTTATATATAAAATGGACGTAACAGTATCTAGCTCACACAGCTATTCTAGAAAAAAAGTAGACAAAATTGTCAAGGAGCAGCAAGGATCTGATTTGGGTATCTTCTTTTTGATTTGTAAATTTTCCAAGAACCCTTTTAGTCCCCATCACCATAGTCCCATCAAAGAAAAACTTTTTTTTTAATTTTGAAAATCTTTATTTTTAGAACTTTAGAGTGATAAATAATTTGTTTTAAATGTTTATAAATTACTACATAGTCATCTTTCTTCCAAACTGGAATGTCAAAACTATGAAATTAGAGTTTGATGTAAAACTGTTCATGTAAAACTACCAGGTTCTTTAAATGTCTCTATGTTGATGGACAAGAGTTATAGTAAAGCCTTCACATGCTAGAACAAGACTCTAGGGACAGATGTGCTTTCCTTCTCATCACAGACATTCAGGGAAAGACTTCACTGAGAAAATGAAAATATTTGTTTCCAAAAATTCCTGCTGGTATGAGTCTTTAAATCTGATTCAGTGTGACAACACTGACTTACTGTATAAACCACAGACACAACCCTTGTTTTGACTGGGGCAGGATAGAATACAACTTAGGGGTTGACACAGGAGTCCAGAATCATCCTGCCATGAGTGTCCTTCTTGCGGGCGGTATTAGGATGCGTATTCTGGCTCTCATTTCATATGAACTTCAAGTCCCTCATCCTCCACAACATGTGAAAACCACATGACAATCGTATTTGCAAATGTCCTAAATCAATTAATCACTGGTCAAACCATCAGGTAGTAAAAGAAAGTTGCCCTAATTCTCAAACTTTTGGTAGAAAATTATTAAAGCTGATTCTTAGAGCATTAGGGAAAGCATATACTTAGACCTCCAAAAATTTTACTAACAAGACAAAGGTTCATATAAACTGGATATTTTCCTTGCCTTATTCTGAAAATAAGTTTTTCTCTACCTTGTTGATGCCCATAAAGGTCATAAATTTCAGGAAAATCAAGGACTGAATTTTAAATATCTTGGAGATCCAGAAGTAATAAAATGTTAATACTTTGAAAAGTAACTTCAATTAATTAATATAAACTATACTTTCAATGTGGCATACCAATTATGATAATTTTATGAGCAAATGAAATTTTACATGTTAAATTTCTTAAACTAATGAAGCAAATGTAGATCTGTAAAGGGTACTTTAAAAAAGTCACTTTTCCACATTTCTCTTTCTCCCAAAATGCCCATTTTTTTTTCTTTCAAACCCTCATTCTTCCCCCATCCCATAACTTTAAAATTACAAGTAACATGACACACTTGTTCTGCTTCAGGTATGCTTTTTCAAACCATACAAATACTCTCTTCTAAAGATAAATATTATGAAAAATCTTTTAAATTTCCTATGTGTCATAAGATAGAGGTATAAAAATATATTGGAAGAAAAACAAGTTGTAACATTTTTTTTTGTTTAAAACAATTGCAATGCCCCTAAATTAATCATGGAATTAGATTATGGCTCATAAAGGGAGATGTTATTTAAGAGAGAGCAATCATGTCTGAAATTCCTAATTAGAACAGTTAGAGTAACCTGATCCTGAAACACAATTAGTTCTCCCAGGAGACTACCGTGGAAAATAGACAGAATTCTGCAAAAAAAAAAAAAAAAAAAGGAAAAAGAAAAAAGAGCCCTCCTCCTAATGAGCATTTTAAACAGCAATTTTGTTAATTTACATTTCTCTTGTCCCATAAAGTTCAGATGAATTTGTCCATATTTTATATTAATTTCCATGATATTGTCTCCCATTCTTTGTTTTCAGAGACTCTGAAAAGTAATTTATTCCACTAGCCTCTCCTGTTATATAAATTAATTCCTAGGAGTGAGTAGGCACATCAGGTGAATTCGGCACATTAGAAGTAACTATTATTTATATTAATGGAAGGGGGCTATGGCCTAGATAATTCAAAACAAGTATTTTCTAAAGTTTCCACTTATTTAAGTTTTAAAGCTGTGTGGAAAGTGATAATTTAGTCATGGATCCTGTCTTCAAGGAGTTTACAGTCATGTAGGAGAGTTAAGACACATACACACTAAGACAGAAACAAAGTTCTTAGTAACAGAGAGATGTATGGTAAAATGCTACGGGGATTCAAGAAGTGAAAGACTTGGAGCCATAAACATATATGGTGATGTTTCCAGCACATGCATTACTTTAGCAGAAAGAGGCACTATTTCTCCCTCACATATTGAATGTATTACTTCTCAATTATAGATAAATTATAACCTTTCCCTTTTGAAAAATGGATATAATGAGTACACCCCCCCAAAAAAAAGGGGGAGATTATATTTCTTACCTTGTTAAATTACATCTAGGCACCTATTTGCACACTGGAGACTCTGGCCAACTTAACACATATGTCAAGTTACAGATAAAGACACATGTAGTCATAATAAGGGTATAACTTGACAGTGCCTTAGTATATGGCCTTCTTTACCTCATTCCTTTATTAAAGGTCTATCTGCAGCAATCTGACACAACTGTTGCCTTCTTTAGAATCAGAATTTGCATTTGATTGGGGAAAACACTAAAATAAATCCTGATATGCCATATAGCTAATTCTGCATGTCAGAAAGGACTCTAGAGCCTCCAGTATCTGAGGGACATACAACAAACTCTCTCTCTCACACTCTCTCTTATCTCATGCTTATAAATATGAATGCAAATTCTACTTATGTTGAACAATAATGTGGTTCTCAATTAGTCATCTTAGAAAATAAAACAAGGGAGGAGAATCAGTAGGAGTCTTTTCTGAAAAAAAAAGTAAAAGTTCTCTATACCATCATAATTGTAAACACTTGATCAGTTGTTCAAAAATGCCTCAGCACAGGACTGTTGAATGTTCCTTGGGACTAAAGTATGGTATCAACAAAATAACGTGAGAAGTTATGAGATGGGTTTGCGTTGTGTTACTGTGGGTTTCAGTTTGCTAGCCTGCTGCTCAGGTTTTTAGGGTTAGGGAAAAAAGTCAGACCTCACTTGCGATGAGTAATACTAAAAGTGCAAAAACATATTTTGTTGAATTTCTCATCAATAAATAGAATTTAATGAAACACAAATACAAGTCTTTTTTCCCAAAAACCTAAATATAGAGTATTAGACATAATCCTATTTGAAATGTAAAAAGACAAAAGCAGGTAGATTGATTCAACTAAAAAAGTGTTAGCCTTTTTTCGAAGCTATTTAACAAAATTATGAAAATTTTGCCAAGAGTTTTGCAGTGCTATTCAGAGCACAAAGTCTCTTTAAAAAGTCATGTTGTTCTCATTTCCTGCACCATTGAATTACAGATATATTTTGATGAATGTTAAAGTATAGCTGATCTTTGTCAAAAACTGAAATAGATGGTCTTGAAAAAAAATAAAAGCTGTTATCACTCTTGGTACCTTAATCAATGAAAGACCACTTTGTAAATCCCAATGGACCTAAAATTTTCAAATTCTAATCAACATAATTCTCCTCTTGAAGAATTTACAATGTATATATTAAAACTCTATTTACTTTTATTTGAAAAATTACTAATACTTTCTTTTTGCTTCTTTAGCAAGAGAAATTGGGTGATATCTGCTTCTCCCTTCGCTACGTACCTACTGCTGGTAAGCTGACTGTTGTCATTCTGGAGGCAAAGAACCTGAAGAAGATGGATGTGGGTGGCCTATCTGGTAAGCCTGCGGTGTTTATTGATTTTTTTTAAATGCTGTTTCATCATGGTTACCAAATGCATGGCGCACATGCTGCGACTCCCCACTCCTTAATTGATCACAGTTCTCTTTCCTACGGAGCCTGGAAGCAGTCTCAGAATTCATCCCAACACAGTGCCCCAGGAAGCCACTCTCAATTTATAGCAATTGGCATAGAAGATGAAATCTATTTTCCTTCTTTGGAGCCAAAGTATCAATTGTCTTTTTGATGGCACTGAAAGGAAAATGTTTGCTGCTTTTCTGAAAGAGAGTTCTTATGACAGATTATAATTTTGTTGAGGTTAGGGGGTTTTTTGGGTCAAAATTCACGCACAATATAAAAAATAATGTTTTCTCTGAGACTTATTTATTAGGTATTTGATAGCCTAACATAGTCCCTACAAAACCATTTATTAAAGACACAGCATTTCAATATATATGCATAATAAAATCTCTGTTTGAGAGTGAACCCCTATGGTAATGCATTTAATTCCACAGCTTACGTTGAGGACAGGGGAGATGTGGGGATTGAAAGTTCTATACAACCCAACCTTAGTAAGGCATGGTGAATAGAGTACACCCTTGCTCAAAAGCAAAGTCAACTCAAGGACTTGTCACTTCCACGGTTAAACATAATTTTTCTTCTTCTCTGTATGATTAAATCAATTATATTTTTAATTTTCCGCTAAATCATTAAAGTGTGAGGAATTTTCTTGATGTGCCACAAGGTCATCATAAATTGACTGCAGTTGTCATTGTTTGTGGCTGAGGAATTACAACCGGCATTACTGGTTACTCAATGCTTTCTTTAATAAAAATATGGCAGACTTCAAAAGGTTATCCTAAGGCAGCATGGCGATTTTTTATTCTAAAGCATAACAGCTAAAAAGTACAACTGAGCTTCCCGTCACCCACTCATTTGTCAACCAAATTCTCCTGGTACCTGAGTTTATTTCTCTTTATAAATTAGTTACTGGGGAAGCCGTACTAATTCTTTCATGTCACTAAGACCCGATTAAGTAACTTGCCGTTTTTATTGTGCCTAGTAGTGTAACACAGCAATTTTAAAGCAATCAGCACAGTTTTCTCTAAAAATATAGAGTATTTAATGTGACTATAAGTGAAAAACATGCAGAGAAATTTTTAACTGCAATAAAAGTTCACCCCAGGTTATTATTTAGTATCCTAAGGTAACTTCAGATACCTTTGACTTTTCCCTGTCGTTTGGTTCAACAGCCAACTCCCATGACATGGTTCTTTTGTATCCTCTCTCTTAGGCTTTATCCCAAATGCCCATGCCAACCATCCCCTCATCACCTACGCCTAGTACTCTGCCAGTCTTCCTGTCATTCTATACGCTTCAGCAGAATTCCAGTGCAGTTTTACCATGAAGCCAAAAAAGCTTCAGGGCCCCTCATTTGCCCTGGCTTCTTCCAGGGCCCCAGAAATGAGTTCCCCTCATCACAGACAGATGTTTCAACCACGATTTATTCATCCCAGTTTGCCGTCTCTTTCCACTGTGGCTTCTCCACTATCTATTTCTTCTTGTTGAGTGACATCAGAGAGGCTGGCTGCAGGCATTTTGGAAACTTGGCTAAGAGAAGTTATGTCTAGCAGGTAATTTTTATGTGGCTTATAGTCATATCATGTATAGTCAGGTTATTGCTAGCTATCCCAGAGAAGGAAGGTACTAACTCACCATTGTGACATACATAAGGACAGGCCAAAGGTCATACCTAATTTGGTATTCATAACTTTACATTCTTTTTTCCTAAAGAGAACAGGCAAAATTGTATTCACTTCAGGATCCACACCTGAGTTCACCCTTACATTTGAATTACCTGGAATGATTTTAATTATCAAGAAAGAATATTTAAAGAGTAAATATCCTGAAAAAGCCCTAATTTTAACGACTCCCCACTGCCTGTGGAATTAAGCCATAATCACTCTAATCACTTGAGTCTAAGTAATGTGGATATGTCCAGCCTACGTCATGCCATATTTCATTTTCACCAAATTGACCAGACACTCTTTTGCAAACAAACAATACAACTCTCTGCCTCCATTCTTTGCTTAGGTCATCTCCTTCACCTGGAATTCCCTTCCTGCCCACAATGTCTGTCTAAATTCTACCCATTCTTTAGGTCCAACTTAAGTATTATCTCCTCCATTCATTCAATAAGCATATATTGTGTCCCTACTTTAAGTCAGCATTGTTTTTAGCACTAGGTTTTACATTAATGGATAAAATAGCCCAAAGACCCTCCCCTCCTGCAGCTTGCATTCTAATGTAGGGAGATAGAAAAGAACCCAACTGATAGCAAAAGCATGAGTCTACCCAAGAGGTAACAGATGCCATGAAGCAGTAAAGCAGGAAGTAGGATGAGATGTATGGGAGATTCGTTTTAAATGGGGTTCAGGGAAGCCCTCATGAGTAGATGGTATTTCAGCAACAACCTAGAAGAAGTGAAGAATTGAGCCATGGGGTGTCCGGGAGAGAGAACGGATACCTCATGGCTCACTTCTTCACTTCTTCCAAGTTGAGGCTGAAATGTCACCTACTCATGAGGTCTTAAGACCTCATGGTTTTAAGATCCATCCCAGTAGAACAAATCTTTGCCTTTTTTAAATGCCGCTAGCCATTTGTTTACACCCTCAAACATCATGCTTCTCTCTCACTAGGCTGTGTTCTGTATTTATGCCTCCCACAATGCTCTCAGTGACGGGCAGCACTAAGCATAGCTGCTGAATGAATAATGAATTATTTACAAAGGAGCTATGGCCTGAGAAAACAAGCCTTGCATTTCAAATGTGTTTAACCTACTTAACATTAAAATAACTTTAAGCACTTGGATGTTCTGTCTCAAACTATGTTGACCTGTGTACGAGGAGACCAAAATTATATAATAAGATCATTCCAGGTAATTCAAATGCCAAACTGCATTTGCTGGAAATGGCTAGTTAATTGGAACTAAAGTGGGTTGTTTTGCCAGAGTTTAAACTCCATCTGCCACTAACTAGCAATTTGACATTGCACAAGTTATTTATTTAACTCTTCTAAGCCTCAGCTGCATTATCTATAAAGTAGGAATAATGAGAGGACTTTGTTGATGACGCTATGAGAAATAAATGAAAGCACAGGGCCTGGCACAACTAAGTGCTCACTAAATACTATTGTAGTCATTTCTATTAGTGATTTTGTCAAATCTTGGGCTAAATATGCAACATGGGAAGGCAACCAATGGATGATTTAACCAATTACTTGCTTCAGTGGAGAAAAAAAATGTTTATCTGACTGTTTGATGGAATTAGCTGATTCTTTCAGGCAAAAGTATCAGTAGGCCCACGTTTTGCATAGACCCTATAGTGAATTAAGATAATTAACAAAACAATTGAGAAAATAAAACATGGAAACATATATAAAATAATTTTCTAATTGCTCTCCAACAAGGTTATTTTCTTCCTGTGGTATTCATTCAAAATGCATTGCACAAAGATTTTGCCTCTATTGTATATCATTATGACAAACAATGCAAATCCCAGCCCTTCATACTTCATAGTGTCAAGCTTAATTGGACTATGCACATCTCTACAGCAGATCCTTGCACTTGCATTGTTAATATCCCAGCTTTCAGGTGCTTGTGAGCCACAGTGAGGATTTCTGAATTTAATGGCAGTCATGCGTTGATTAACGAAAGGCATACATTTTGAGAAGTGTGTCATGAGGTTATTTGATCATCGCACAAACATCATAAACACAAACCTAGATGGTACAGCCTACTGCACACCTAAGCTATATGGTTTGGCTTATTGCTCCTAGGCTACGAATCTATACAACATGTTACCATACTGAATACTGTAGGCAATTATAAGTATTTGTGCATCTAAACATAGAGAAGGTACAATGAAAATACAGCATCGTAATCTGTGAGACCCCCATTCTATAGGCAGTCCACCCTTGACCGAAATGTTATTTACACAGTGCATGATTGTGTTTGTATCGAGATCCTGAATCTTGCAGGCTGCAAGACTGTTCTTCGGGAGCAAGTTGGTGCTGTAGAATATGTTTAGGTGTTTTTGCCTTGTACTTGGAGAGAATCAAGCCTTCTGCCTAGTAAACGTGTCTCAATAGCTTTGTTATCTTTTACACATCTCTGTGTAGAGTAAGTCTTCCTTCAAATAATAAATGTTTTATACTTGGGAGATTGTGGAAGAGAATAAGGAGGTTAAAGTGAAGGCATTGGAAAAACTGAGGATTCCCAACTGTATGAAGTTGTGTATCTCATAGTTTTGAGCTAAAGTATATATGTATAATTTTTATTCTTAAATTTATATCTGTGTAAGCTCCCAAGTCAGAGACTAATCAGATACTTTGATTCTTGTCCCTCTTTGTGTCACAGAAACTACTTTCCTCAAGTTTGGTGATTTTTGTTTTTGTGTTTGTTTTTGTCATCTCAGAAATGTGAGACTTGTGATTACAGCTTTAAGAGGAATGCCAATACTGTAAGTTTAGTTTAGACTTTCTATTGTAAATTAAATGAAATTCTGAAAGTCTTCTATTTTAGGACATGGCTGTTTAAAGAAGAAAACACTAAACTTTAAAATCAGCAAAAATTGAAGTGATTATAGCTTTTAAATTTTGATCTATTCAGTAGAAATTCTTTTTCTATTTCAATCTGAGAATTATTTTTAACTGATAAAAAGTCACATTATCGGTTATAGGACACTATCTAATTTAGAAATCTTTTTTTAACTTGATTTCCTCATGGGGTTCTCATGATAGCCCTATGATGTAGTTTCTGAAGATAATATTCATATCTTACCAGTAAGAAAATTGAAGCTTATAGACATTAGACAATGTACATAAACTATCTTCCTGTATGTGTCACATAGATGGGGGTCTTCAGTACTTGCAATTGCTCTTATTGCTGCTGACATTTGAAGTCAGCTGATCTGAGGGTAGGACTGAAGTTCAGATCCCC